TTTTGTATGGCATCTAATTTTAATGCAGAAATATGTAAATAACCTGGCTGTAATTATGGATAAAACAAAAATTAAAATACGTAAATTTTGATTTATTGAATAGTGAACTGTAAACACATGTTTTTTTTTCTATAAATAGTTTATCTGTTGATGATAACTTAAAAAGGTGCCGTGTTTAAAACATCAGAAACTTAATGAAAGGAGGAATGGAATGTACCAATGTTATCTGATGTGTTTTTTATTTATAACACAAATTATCAAAATTCAGATAATATATGCACCTGACACAAAGACTCGTACTTAAAGAGGCTATTACAAAAAAGTATTGGCTAATATATAAATACATATATGTATATCCATTAAAGCCAATGTAATTAATTTTCAGCAGTAAGTGATAATATTCGTTGTAAAAAGTCCAACATGTACGGCATACATACCAAAACAGTAAATGTGCTTTAAAATATACTCAAAGTAAAAGTTTTTCTTCTATTGACCAAGTTCTTTATAATTAGTTTCTGTTGGTGATTGATTGGTGCAGATTTAATTCTATATGAATAGACACAGCAGACTGAAATGTGTAAAATTCTAGAACTGATATTACCAACACAAGTCATCCTCTAGTAGTAGGGTTTATACAAACTTGGTAACTACAACAGCAGTTAAAGGACTCAGAAGCTGTGTTGATTCTTTACTAAAGTTATAAAAGAATAAATAAGATGAATTTTTCTTTAGGACTTGCATGGGCTTTGTGGCAAACAAAAGAAGCAATGTATTTGCATGAAGTTATTTCTCTTTTTTTCTTAGTTTCTGTGTTTTGTATTAAATGAGTTTCAAATTCAACCTGCTTCTGTCATTTATACATAGTTGGCATCTTCCACAAACCTCCAAAGCTTAAGAAAGTTTTTATCCTTACAGCTGTATATAGTTTCAAGCCAGCCTTAAATCCTCATGCTCTACCTAAGAACAAAGGCTGGGTCTTCAGTTGATAACTCTTCATCCCTGGGCAGAATTGTATATAGTTTCAAGCCAGCCTTAAATCCTCATGCTCTACCTAAGAACAAAAGCTGGGTCTTCAGTTGATAACTCTTCATCCCTGGGCAGAGCTGTATATAGTTTCAAGCCAGCCTTAAATCCTCATGCTCTACCTAAGAACAAAAGCTGGGTCTTCAGTTGATAACTCTTCATCCCTGGGCAGAGCTGTATATAGTTTCAAGCCAGACTTAAATCCTCATGCTCTACCTAAGAACAAAAGCTGGGTCTTCAGTTGATAACTCTTCACCCTTGGGCAGAGTGGTATATAGTTTCAAGCCAG